TATACCATAAATCCGGCTGGATTCAAATGGACGCTTCCTGCAGTAGTTTTAGAAAACAAGTTTTTGCCTAACGTGAAGCCCAGCAAAGATGACCCTGTCGTACTGGTTTTGGATGGGCACTACTCGCATACCAGGAATTTAGAACTGCTTGCACTAGTTGCACGAGAAAATGGAGTGCATATAATTTCCTTTCCTCCGCATTGTACCCATAAAATGCAGCCGCTTGACAAAGCCTTTATGTCCCCGTTGAAAACATACTATGCGCAGGCCATCGAAAATTGTTTGGGACAAAACAGTGGTAGAGTTGTTACACATTACCAGGTTGGAAGACTTTTGGAGAAGCCTACAATCAAGCAGCAACGGTCGCAACAGCAACAAATGGATTTAGAATCACAGGTTTATTTCCTTGCAATTGCAACGTTTTCCAGCCTCATGAATTCGTTTCTGATGCGAATGGTAGCGATTTTGTTCAACAGGATCAAAATATTTCCATAACCCAAATAGAAGATAGAGAGTCTCAACCAAGCTGCAGCGTAATTCAAAACAATTTAGAGGAACGCCCAAAAAATAAATGGAAAAGGAGCTAAAACACTGCAAAGGAAATGTGTCGGAAATGTGGCTAGGAAATGCTTCGAAAATCAAGAAAATGAAGCTCCAGCTGAAAAGGAAAGTGAAAGCCGTACAATGAGTCAAAAGGGACGAAAAAGCGACTAGAAAAAACAAAAAAGCAATCAGTAACCTCTTCAGATTCAGATATTGATATAGCCAGAAATTTTACAGTTTCCACAGATGATGAAGACTGTGGAGATAACTGCGAGTGTCCGTACTGCAATGAAACCTATTTGAGCGACAGAGCGGGCGAAAAGTGGATTGCCTGTATCAAATGTAGAGTCTGGTGTCATGAAGAGTGCTAACGGACTGATGATTATCAAAAATTTGTTTGTGACTTTTGCTTGTAGTTTGATCTTTCTTTTAAATTCTGACTGTACAGTGTCTGTTTTAAGGAATACGGTTTTATTTTATGTATCTATTTAGACTGATAATAAAATAAATGGTTTTCGCATACTTTGTCCCACTTACACTATCCCACAAAAAAGGTAATCCTAATATCGCATACCAGTGCGATATTAGGAACACATTTTTTTGAATACTGGAAATGATCTGTCACTACATAGACATTTGATGGAGTTCATTGAAATACATTCACTGTTCACTTAGACCATACAATTTCCAAACTTACTGAACAAGAATCACATTTGTTCCATCGTAATTAACGATTTTATATAGTTATTTTCCAAATGGGTGCGATATTCGGCACATTTTCCCCTATACTACCTACGGATGAATTTTCGAAAACAGAATTTTTAGATCACTTTCACGAATCGTTAAAATCGTTCATTCTCGGAATATCCGATCCATAAGTTGCCGAGATTTTATCTCGAAGGCAACCAGATATACAACTTCAGGTCCGTAACGAAAATTATGAAATGGAGTTGGACCTCTGATTAATTAGTTGCAGATACTTCAAACAAAAATGTAGGATTTTAAGAAAACTATTGTGTTATGGTCAAAAGCCTTGCCCAATATGTAGAGAAATTGAACTGATTTACCAGGTACCAATAACCAAATATGCCCGAAAATTGCATATACCCAATTGTGCTTAGCAGGGCAATATAACACTTATTAATACAGAAATATTCATGGGCGCGCACAAAAGCGGGCATAAATTCCATTACATATCACTTCTTCACAGAAGCGTGTATCGGCTCTGGCGTCGCAAGCTTCACGATACCGCAAAATCTCGCATTGGCTGCTGTCTGTAAACACGGAAGACATGTTGTCGCGCTGCAAAATAAAACGCGCGTTTAGTTCACACGACTGACTCGCGTTTGATCGAACGCACATTTGTAGCGATAATTATGTGTGTAAATGCGGGTACGCATATGAACACGAACGCGAATGAGGCAACCCGAGGACGAACCATTTGCCTCGGTTACGGGAAGTTCGATCCATGGGATGCGGCGAACATTCTTGAATTTCGGTAGCTTTTAAAATACGGCCGATTCAGATTCTGATGGTGAACTTGCTGCGTATTTTATAATTTTAACCAGTGTATCAAGGAAGAAAAAACCAAAACGATGATCGTCACAATTATATATTAACAGAAGATAATTGAAAGAAAATATCACAGCTTTGTTAAAAGATATCTTGGCCGCCATAATATTCGCGTTCGTACTCATATGCGTACCCGCCTTAATGCATAGAGTTCGTCAGGACTAATCGGCGCGCGTCGAAACGCGGCGGATGGAGGTAGTCTCACAATAACGCGCGTTTGTTTTCAAGCGCGACAACTAGTTGTCCGTGTACGTGTGTGCTTGCGCGCGCGCGTGCGTGTACAGTGAATGTCATACATTGGTACTTGGTTGCGATAACGCGCGTTCCGATTGCGCCAACGCCAAACTCTCATCAACGTGCCGGAAAAAGTGCCGTGTACATATATATGATCTTAGTACGATTGACATTGTTTTGTGTATATCTTTACCCCAGCACTCATTTCTTCATTATATCGAAAACATCAGCTTATTAGTTGAAATCTCATTCCAAATTAGCTACTCGTTCACGCACAAGGTGTCATTTCAAGTTTAAACTTTTGGAAACATTTTTTAAAGCGACCTGAAAGTCATCTGTTGAAACTGTTCAATACCCTTTATAGAGTTTGAACCAAAAACCACAAAATTTTCAAGGAAATGCATGGAAATCAAACATCCCTTTCCAAGTGATTTATTGCTTCATTAAATACATCTTATATATACAAATGAATCCCTATTTCGCGTGGTCACGCCATAACTTGAGAACGACTTTAGTGATTTCATTCATCTCATTTTTAAAGTTTCCTATTGCTGTATAGAAGGTTCTTGCGGAAAGAAAATTGAACAGAAAATTGGGAAATCATTGAAAACCTGATTATTTAAGCTACGCGCATTTGAGCATGGAGTACCCACAGCAGAAGAAATATCTCAAATACCAAAAGAGACAGGCACTTCTCTCCGCCATCTTTATTGCAACAGCTATTGACAGTTGGCTATGGCTTATGAAAATACGGTGCTTTCGTTTTTGGACTTGCATTTCTTTACCATCCGTACTTTGTGATGGCCACTTCAAAAGAAACTGCAGTGTTGCCCAATTGTTATCTTTGCCAGTTAACTTTATGAATAAAAATAGCGGATGAAAATACGTTTCTTTTGCTTAATTGACTTTCACTACTCTATCATTTTGAACTTGACAGCTCGCACGCCGCAAATTTATATTATCGTTTAACAGTGTTTATCGATGAAAAAATATTGTTATATTCAGTGAGTTTTTTGAGGAGTATTTGTTCAAAAATAATTAACAATGGTGGAAGTTAATTCACCGCAATCACGCCTTATATTAAAAATGTGATTCTTAAAAATGCTACCAAACGTACCTACCTAGGTCGCAGAATTCGCAATGCTGCAACTCAAAGATATATATGAAGAAGTCAAACTGACGAGCAGCAAGAAGCGAGAAATCAAGTTGAACGGGATCGAAGGACTGAATTTCAACAACGTAGAAGTATCTCATTTAATCCCAATCGAGCTGCATTCAATTATACCGTGGCAATTGATTACAGTTCACAACAAGTCATTGCTATTGGACCAATGAACGTTGTGAGTCCACATTGCAAGGCTTTCAAGTTTAAAAATGAAGCCCCTGGATTATGTTGCGTCAGTGGAAAAATCAAATTGACTTTATTGGTACCACCACCAGAATTACTACATTCATTGGTTTCCAGAAATGGGCCAGATTTTACACATTTTTGACTCATATCCAGCAATACAATAATTGCTTTCAAATGACATCATTTGGCGATACAAACACCCCTCTATACAATTACCTACATTCCATATATTTACCCTTTTATTATTCATTATTTATCCCAGTTCACAGCTAAGTCAGGACAACGTCTGTCGGATCAGCTAGTTTACATTAAATGTATAGGTATAATAACTACATTAACACAAATTAAACTCAAATATAAATTAACAAAATTGAACTATCGAACAAATACACACTAGACTCTAAGATACAACAAATTAATAATGACTATATACATCTATTAAACAGACATTGCACGTTTCTGTTACCACAAAAAATTACAAAATGCAACAATTACGAAATCTGATTTTAAAGCTTATACAACATAAGCAGGACTAAATGAATGAATGAATCTTGAAATTAGAGGCATTCCGGCCACCATAAGGAGCCAGTGCATAGGATGCTTAAGCGGGCCCTTATGCACCTCTACAATCCTTAGACCACAAGCCTCTCCCTTTTAGCGAAGTTGAGAATCGCCTTGAGTCCAAGCTCCTTGACGTCCTGAGGGTCCAAAGTAATGGACCCCAGTATAGTCTGCCTATAGTAGCTCAGAGCTTCACAGCGACACAAAACGTGCGCCGAGATCTCTTCCTCTACCCCGCAGCGTTCACACAAGGGATCCTCAGCCCCCCGTCACGTGCAGCTGACCGCCTTAACATGTTATGGCCAGACAACAGTCCCACCAACAACCTTAGGTTCGCTCTATCCAGAGATAGGCAGAAGCGTCCATCCTTAGCACTGGGTTCTTCAATGAGTTCCCGTGCCTGGCGGAGATGTCTGGAGATGCTTCTCCATTTCTGAGAGTGTTGTATTGCAACCCACGTCTCCATTTTCCTCCTAGCTTTATGCGCGGTCACTCCTAGAGCTGGCTCAGGACCAACCCGCCGTCTCATTGCCCCTTATCCCAGCGTTTCCCGGTACCCATATTAACGATACCTGCCTCGCTGCGAGGCAATCCAGAGCCTCCCTGCATTGCAATACAAGACTCGAAGTAATCTTACAGGCACTTAGTGCTTTCATTGCAGCCTGGCTGTCGGATAAGATTGTTATTCTTCTAATTTCTGTTACCACAAAAAATTACAAAATGCAACAATTACGAAATCTGATTTTAAAACTTATACAACTTTATGTTGTTTGTAAAGGAAGAAGTTCCATAAAAGATTTTTTGAGGAGCAAAACACAGTTATACAATACTTCTGAAATATGATGGAACCAGGTTGCTTGCACACAAAAATTAATAATTTTGGTGTGATACCCATGTATTGCTGCAAATAACCCAGACCTTCAGGCTCAATATTCCTCAAATTCTGTTTTTATATAAACCACATGACTATCAACTGCATCTAAAGTATTGCGATCAACTTCTTTCCGATGTCGTACATACTTATCGTTGGCCATTTTGTCACCACTACTTACAGGACTGTCACTTTTATTCTCAAAAACAAGTTCTCTTTTGATAACGACCCCTTGATGAAACAACTTATAGTGATTTAAAGTATCAGATTTGGACTGACCGAAGAACTTGCAAACAGGACATGAAAAATGACTGTCAACAGTCTTGTTTTCAATACTTCCGCTTTCACGAGTTTCTTTCTTGGCCCTATTTTTATGCTCAGTTTTAAAGTGAATCAGCATATCCTTTTTAGACGCAGCTTTGTAACTACACTCTAGACAAGGAAAATATTTCTTATTTCTAGAATTAGTTTGAATTTCAGACGTTTCTCTTTTACTATCGCCGTTCGTTACTAAATCTTGGTGCGCAATTCCAATGTGAGACAGCATTGCAGCTTCAGACTCCACTTGAAAACTGCAAATCATACATCGAAAATACTTGTCACACTTGTTCATGTCAACTGAGTCTACTTGAAGAGTATCTCCCTGTTTACCATGATTCATCTTATGCTTCTTCATGTACTCCTTACTCATCTTTAAATAATAAAATAACATGATGTACATATAAGTAATCTGTTGATGACCTAAAAAGCTAAGATCTAACACACACTGGGGTAGAAATTTGACAGTATATAGTCCTGTATAGTTTACCCTGCCAGACCTGTGTGCGCTAGCCCTAGAGCAATGTTCTCACCGAAAGCAGCCCGACTCTAACCCGATTTAGAATTCCGGTTGCATCCACCAAAGAAACTGCCAAGTAACTGGTAGTCTCGTTTCAAAGGTGTGGAATAAGAATGATTAATATAAATAGAGTATTTTGGATCTTACTGACTAAAATAAAAATTGCTTAGGAAACGTATTCCATAAAAAAGATCCTGTCAAATCAATCAATCACCATAGGGAATATTGTTTGTTCAACACAACATATCAAATATTTGTACATTGAAGGATATGTGGTAACATATTGTATGCTAAATCCTTTCTTCTTCCTTTTCCAACTGAATCTCTTCAAAGAACAAAAAGAAAACATGATGGAGGAGTGTCTTTATTCGATTATTAATAATTTTTTGAAGATCCGATCGAAGGTGGATCTCGTAAGCATGGCCGTAATATGTGCAAGTGCTAGGGTCCGTGAGGCGTGCCTCCCCCTTTGCCCTGTATCCCCCCCCCTGTACCTCATGTGTGCTCGTGGTGGTTGGAGAATAAGACGAAAAAAGTGAAACTGAAATGTAATAGTGACATCTTTAGATGAAACCTTTTATGGGCAATCTGAAACCGTCTGGCGTCGGTATTGGCGAATAACTGGTTGTATTACCGTCGCTTTGGTGAGAACGTTTGTATTCGAATACACGTGCTGACTTGGGTTGTCCTCAGGATCAGGTTGTCAGTTGCTCTCAGTGAGAATGGTATGTAAGACACTAAATCAAGAGAATATGCAGGATATAAAAATTGTCATATTTCATTCAATTAAATATTTTGATAGGATTATTCATAGTTGTAAAGACTATATGAAATTTAAAGTTGCTTACAGATTCAAATCTGCATAATCCACATATGTATATCTCCTTGTGTAAGCTATGTTTGGTCTTCATATGATTCTTCATAACTGATTTCCATTTGGTTGTATAATGTGGACAGAATTCACAACGTAGGAAAACAGATGAATGTACTACTTTATGAGTAATAACATTATTCTGCCATTTCGATTTGTAGTCACATTGGTCACAACAATATTCACCATCACTGAAAGATAACCCAGTTTTCAAGATATGCTTGATGGAACATGATCTACTGACTTCAATGAAAGTTGGAATATGCCATTTTTCCCACAAATTATAATCCCCATCCCCCTGTAGCTTCCTAGTATTTTATATCCATTTATTATAGTTGTTAAATTATTAAAAAGATTTTGCTGAAGACATAGACAATGATACATGTTTTTCATGACAGCAACTAATTCGTTTTTTGACTATTGATAATCGCAAATTCATCCTAGTTATTATGATACCTAAGTGGAAAAAACTGTATTCAACAAAAATATGATTCTACCAGAAAATCATTTACAATATCAGAGTGTCAGTACACATACTTTAGTCTGTTCTAGCTCACCTGTTGACATAAGTATCCACACTTTTAGATGCATCAGCCTCTGTCTCTGTTGGTAATTCAATTTCTTCCTTTATTGTAATTTCACTAGTAATTATGCTCAAGCTAACAGACTCAGTAGTTTTGCCATCACTTGTTTCTATTACTTGATCTGTTGTATTTCTATCACTTTCTGTCTTTTCATTATCATTACTGTCATTTTTATTCATTTGTTCATAGGCAGACAGTTTTCTTCTTTTCCTCACTGTTCCGTGGATGGATTGTGGTGGATCAGGAAATATGGAAGGTATGGCATCTGGTCTCAGCCGAGGCCTCTGGTATGTCTCCTAAGGTGATTTAACTACGTTTTACATTGCTCAGTTTTAAAAAACCAATATAGATAACTTAAAAATAGGCACTACTTTGCTACTTAAATGCAGAAGTATTTGTAGCCTCAAAATATAAATGTCAAAGTAAAAACACAGAATGTCCACAAAATGAATGATAATCCTGCGGCTGTAAGTAAGTCACCTTATGACCTATTATTACGAAAATTTTGTTTTAAAAAAGGTCTCATAGTTTTTGAGATTTTCATTGATTTTTTTTTATTAAATCCATGTCACTCCTGGAAATATTAAGTTTTCAGGCCAGATTTGTTTTAAAACACTCACAATTAAGTGTGACCTTCGGCTTAGCATGGCTTTTCCTTAAGACAGTGAAAGATGCACAAAAAAGTCATTGCAAACTTAATTTAAATAAGAAGCTATTTTTACTTAGACACCTTGTTGTGTGAGATAATCTTATGATAACCGTGCTAGTTATTCCAAAAACGTGGGTGGTTATTGGCGATTTCAAAATTGTATTATTGTTATTCACGCTCTGCTATTTTTTACTTTAAACTTCAGTAACAATGGAAGAAAGTCAGATTACTCAAATATGTATATCAAAAACAGCATCTTAGCTGATGGAGACAAAAAAGGACAGGTTCGATCTAGGAGGATATAAAAATATGTTACCAGTGGCATAATTATAAGAATCCAAAAAATCAGGGTCTTGGTCTATATATCCTTGAGCCATTTGGATGACAACATATGTATTATATATGTAGGTTCGAATAAATACTAAAATTCTGATCGGATAGCAAAAAGAAATATTATGGGATAATGAGATCCTAAAATTTATATATATAAAATGAGCATTGGAGCAGTGATGGGTATTCTAATATTCAATCTATATCTTCTGTTGTGATTTCACCAGAAAAGTGTTTCTTTTAGATACTTGGGTTTACCAGTTGTGAGCAGTTTATTGAGAATGACCAAATAATGAAATAAAGTTAAAGACTTTAGCTTCATTTGTGTTGTAAGCATGGCTATAGCGTAGTTGTATGTTCTTAAATCACAGCTGTTTTGGCGAGTTGAACCAAGCAAGGCTGGTAAATAATATTACAATAATTAATCATGGTGTTAACTCACCACAGCATCTTTAATAATCCTCTGTGTAAGCAGATCGTCATTGCGAAAGTGTTTTGCACATACAAAGTCATTGGGAGTGATTAGCCTGTCTGCTCGAGCTATTGCTTCTTGCCACTTTGTTAAAAGAATATTATCGTCAGGAACACGATACAATGGGGCCTTTTCTTTGCAATTCCTGTACCCTGTGTAGCAATCTGGGACAGCGCATTTTCGACCCATATCCAGAAATCAAGAGGGGCCAAGCAATATTTCGTTTGCTTATGAGTATTTCATGGTATTTATGAGTTAGATACCGAATTGATGGGTTTCAACCACTAAATTTGTTTGTACATATTCTTTTCATTTTTTTGTTTCTAGGTTATGTTTACACTTATTGACTTTGTCGTTCACATTATTTGTCGTTGTGGCTGTCACTTCAGTGACGTCTAAAAAAGGAATCTGTGAATTGTAGTAACATATCAACACAATTCAATTTTTTTCTAATTTTCGATTTATGCAGGTGCCATCAAAGGCTAGGAAATGCAAACATCTGGACCATAATGATGTTAATACTGATTTGTTTGTAGAAAAATGTATGAGATTTATATAACAAATATATATTTAGGTATTTGCAGTATATGTTTTTCTTCGGAACCTTTCCAGATTAGTAAGTAGGTATGAGTGATCTTATAACAGCTTGTGCTATTGACGTTGCTATTTTAACATACAAAAAATAATGTATTCGTCAAGATAGCGCAAAATGTTAATAACACATGCAGGCTGTTATAAGATCTCCCATATCCCACCAAATTTCTATAAATAAAAGTATAACAATCTCAGATTTATATGTAGAGCTGGCAACGCTGCAGGATATTAATGCACAATTTGGCAACCATGTTGTACCCTCAAAAAATGGCCGCTGACAGCCATACAAGTCACCGTGTTGTCATTGAATAGCATGGAATTGATGTATATTCTCTGACTCAGTGAGTCGTTATTATACCATTATACGCAACACAATACCCTCGTCAGCTTCGAGGCCGGTCGGTAATCCTATCGTTCAAATAAACGACTCGGTGAATCAGAGAAAAAAGTCGTATGTCTCAAGCCTATACATAACATAATTATAGAACATAAAGAATATCAGAGAGAAGAAATGATCGAGGACGACATGCATTCATTCAAGTACAAAACACTGGGTTGACAGTGGCGCTGCAACCTACAACGGCTGTTAGCCTACAGCACGCTGCAGTAGTGCTGCGGGTCAATGTTGCCAGGTCTAGTGATTTTTGAACAAGTTTTGTGATTTAGTGAAAACTTTTGTTAAAGTCATATTTCTAGTGATTTTTTTAAAGGTTTGTGGCAAAAAAAATTGAAAAATACAATGAAAAAATATAGAAACACAACCAAAAGTTGGTAAGAAGCGTATACAATTATATGCATCGCACATTTAAAAGGTTTTCGGAATTTCAAACATTTTTCAGCATCAAACCCCACAAATTATTGCATTCATCACATACCAGTTGGCTGTCACTGATTTCCGCTGTAAGTAGAATTATTGAGCAATATGATGCTCTATAGAATTATGTTACTGGTTTTTTGTACCTCAATGTACAACTAATAACGACGGCAGCTCGATCCATTGTACGGTTTCTCCGGATTGATTACTTAAGGTTTGAAAATGATGCAAATTCATTGCCGGATCCTAATTTCGGCTGAATATTTTCTAGATCCGCCGCTGGTTAATATTTTTTTTTTTTTTGGAATATTCCGTGGATACACAACATTTTTCTAATTGCTATTTTCAAAATTGAAGATATTACAGATATCTAATAGTGACAACAGAAGATGAAAAATGATTTTTCCATGTTCAACCAGATTATTGGATGTTTTAATACAAAAATTTTGTTCGTTTGATTTCTTTCAAACTTCGACCAATAGGTCCGGAGAAACCGTTTTTTGAAGCCCGAAAATTTTTCCTTGCGCTGTTACTTTGCTCCTAAAATTTTTCGGCTAAAACACCTGAAAACTAGAATCTTAATGCCTTTATCGAAGTCTAATTACGACCATTTCTCATCGAAAGACAACCAGTCAAAAGTTACTGAAAAAATTGTTTTTCTTGTTTCCTTAATTTTTTGAGTAATTTACGTTCTTAGTGTATCCAGTTTTTTGTGAACTAGGAGTGCTACAACCATGAACAGACAGTAAGGGCTATTATAGAAGACTCAAACATAAATAATAAATAAACGATCTTATATTAAGTTATAGAACACATTTTGGAAGTCTAATCTGAATCAATAAATTAATTTTCACTATCCCAAGACTGTCACAAAGGTAACTGACAGCAAATTGAATTCATTCTTTCCCTTAGCAACAAATAACTAAACAGGTATAACAATAAAAACAGTTCGTCCTGGATATGTGTTGATGAAAAGAATCCGGAAAAAAATCAGGTTGTTGGTAGTCACCGTTTTCAATTATACAGGTGAAGTAGTTAGTTTTTGCTTAAAGTTGAAAACCTTGACAAATCTTTTTCGATAAATCCGTGGTGGGAAGTTTTCAAATGAACACCCTGTATATGCAGCTGTCACGGAAAGAAACATCGATGACGACGCCGACGTGCCGAGTACGCTCGCGGAAGATGATGCTCATATCAAATCGATAATAATTACGTTATTGCTCTATGAATATGCAAGTTTCAGTTTTTCAAATGCGGTTTGTATATAAACTACGTTAACATAGAGGCCACGCGACGCCTGATATGGAACACATCCACATAGCGACATAGCCTTAGTTCATCAACAGTGTTGCCACAGCGTTGTGACCAAATTAATTGCAAATGCCAGACAGTTTCACAAGTTCAAAGTGTTTTTATTCGTTAAGTAATGACAAGTATTGAAACCTTCTGCAAGTTCAATTCTATCGCTGAATGAATTTTTTGAGAACCTGTGCTATGAATTCCCATACTGAGCAGACCCGACTTCTTGCGACAGAACGTAATGACTCTAAACACTTTTATAAATTCCCAGTTTTATATATGGTTTTGTATAGGATAAAATACTTTTTTGCCTCTGCATACGGTACTTCTCTCATCAAGTGGAAAAAAACACAATATTATTATATAAATATATTTAATGACTTTTTGATCTAATTACATGATCATTAATAGGATAAGTACAATTTTCATTTTATCTACTATTCATTAGGGGAACGTCTTTTTTTAGTGACTGCATTCGCACTCGGGCGAGGAAAACCCCTAGAAAACCTCAACCGTCACTGCTAAGATCAATTGTATCAGGTGTAGAAAAATCAAGTCGTTCCGTAATTCTGGGTTCATTTGCACAATCAATAATCGCCAGCATCCCACAGTTATTAACCTAAAACAAAAGTAGCATTGAAGTAACGGTTTATACGAGTGAAATTTTTTAAGTAAGAACCGTTTTGTAATCAGAAACAAACTAAAATATTAGCATTTTTATTTTTTCCATAGGACATCAGAAAATGACGCTAAACAATGGTAGTATGTTTTGTAAGTTATGTGTATGCAGAAATGTATGAAAACTTTTTATTTGACAACAAAGAATGAGAAAACGTGTTTTATTGGGATTCAATCTAAAGTGTTGACAAGAACGAAAAAACCTTTCGTATAAGATTTTTACGTATTTATGAGATCTACAAAATGAAACCACAAGTAAAAAGATCCGACTAATAGGAAAAATGCTATGGCCCAAAAACGAGGCAAAACGCAGGTTTTGGCAGTTGGTAATGCGACGATAATTTCACGTAACTACTTGAAATTCTTCAAATCCATAGGATTCATACTTCTAAATAACGTCAAAATTAGATTATATGGGTCAGGTAGTTTTTTCAGAATTTATATTTGTTTATCCAAAACACCTGTTCTCCGGCCATCATTACTAGTTTATTGAGCTATATACATCTTGTGGTTTTCATATCGACTATTTCCCTCATCTTCATTTCTACCAGTTGCAAACGCGCAATTTTGGATTACAAATGGTTTCTAGATGGAAAAATTAGTAGTCAGCAGTCTTTTCGAGCTTACCCGCGGCAAAACATGACAGTTGTTGTCACCAAAAATTACAATACCTTTGATATTCACGGTGCGCAATTGGTTCTTACTTTAAAAACGCCCCTCGTAATTCACTGACTTCTTTCTGATAAAGGTGTTAGAAAAATAAAATTTGGTGAAAGCTTTCGTCTGTGGCGCCGCTCCTTTTTGCAATAGGTTTCAAAAGTTCTACGGGGTGTTCGAAAAATAGACGGAGATATTTTAGAGGGTGTTTCCTTGTTAAAATTATTTATAAAATATAATAAACCAAATCCGTCCAGTGACATGCAATGAAACGGTTCATATTTTTTTTCTCGAAAACGAAGTGAGATACGAAAAAAATACAAGAGGCAAGGAATGTATATTTTTAGATGCTTAATCAAGCAACAAATATTACAGTTACAAAAAAGGCAGTGGCGTACATTTGTTTGCCAATAATATTCGCTAAGGTGCCCCCGGAACGCCACTGGACCTAATAATTTTTATCTATTTAGGGCTAAATGAGCCTCTTAATACAAAAAATAACACGGTCAAATTTCAATAGAATCGAGCAAATGCTTTTTGAGGTATTTATAAAACAATAATTAATTTTTTTCATATTTTTAACAGGGAATCATCCTCTGAAATATCTCTCTCTATTTTTCGAATACCCTGTATTTCCTGATATGCTTGACGGGTAAGACGTCAGTGAAACATGAAGAATAATTATGTTCAAGATTATGTAAAAAATACCTCTTCAAAATTTTCAATTATCAATTTAATTGATGTTCGTTCTGCATGTATCAGCTTGCAATCATCTTCAAGGGCGTGAAGAAATATAACTTTTGGCGTCATTATGTTAGTTTCCCAAATATGTTTCTGAATTTCTTCAAACGTATGGAAATCGTGAACGTTTTTAGAAGCTTTTGCTTGGAATAAGGCTGCAAATATTTCGTAAAACTTCATCAATATATTGACAGTGGATCATACTACTATTATCTACACATTTATCTGCAAAGAGAGTTCACATAAGTACATTTAAATAGCACCTCTGCTTATTTTGAAACATCAAGAAGGCTGAATCTGTATTTCATGAAAAAAGCATAAATTTAAGTACAGTTTTGAGTTGAAAGCGTTTGGCCTTCTTAGGGTAAGTTTCGGGTAAATATATCTCTTGGGAACGTTTCCAAGGTCCTCAACAGTTTTATGAATGCTTCGTGAAGTTAAAAACCAACCTTCTTGATGCCGTACTCTCCAATGCTTACCATGTAAAAATTTTTATGCTCGTATGATTGATGTCTACATATATTGCTGTATAAATCGGGGGCTTTAATCATTCTTAACATGCTTTTATTGTTCCTCTTCACTCTACTC